ATAATAAAACACCCTTACATTATGAGATTCCGGCATTATTGAATAACTCCGGCCTAGATTTAATGCATTTTCATTTGAAATGCAAATTTTCTAGAAAATTAACCTTTGCGTCTCTGACGTATTTTGCTGTCCTAATAAACGTTGTAGTTAATTTGGATCTAGTTTTCTCAATTTTTTACCGATTCAAACTAAACACCCTGCACATAATCGAGTCTGTCTGTCCAATGGTGAGACATCTTCATGGTATATTTTTTATTTCTAATATGAACCTAGCATTTTTTGTTGTCAAATCATTACCGAATCGTATATATGTGACTTTGTGGATCATGCGCGACTTATTACTATGTATACCGGAAATTATAGGTTTTCCAAATCGTCCAGGACATCAGTTGATTTGTTATACTAGATCAACCAAGACCGCAATAATGTATGTAGTATCGAAAAATGTCCAATCAGATTCAAAGTGTCTATGTGGATCATGCATGATCTAATTTTGAGTAATCCAGATGTTCAAGGTACTTCAAATCGTTCTGGAGTTCAGATAATTTAATCTACTAGATCAACCGAGATTGGGACAATGTCTTTAGTATCGAAATATTTCCAGACAGATGCACAGTGTCTATGTGGTTCATGCATGAACTATTGTCATGTATACCAGATGTTTTAAGTTCTCCAAGTCGTTCTGGAGTTCAGATGATTTATTCTATTAGATCAACCATGGCTGGGATAAAGTCTGTAGTATCGAAATTTATCCAAGCAGATTCATAGTGTCTATATGGATAATGTTTAATTATTAAGGTTCTTCAAATCGTCCTGCAGTTCAGATGATTACTTTAACTAGATCAACAAAGACTAGGATAATATCTGTAGTATCGAAATATCGATTTGGAAATCCTATAACATTTGGCACACACGGAAATAGGTTGGCATGATCCACATAAACACTGCAAATTTGTTTGGGCATATTTCGAAACTACAGATATTGAATTAGTCTTGGGTGATCTAGTAGAAAAATAATCTAATCTTCAGAATGATTTCAGAACCTATAACATCTTGTATACGTACAATAGGGTCGGATACAATCCACATAGACACTTTGAATCTGTTGGACATATTTTGATACTACCGACATTATACAGTAGAACAAATCAACTGAACTCCAGGACGATTAGGAGAACCTAGAATATTCGAGGGGAAATGGATGGAATGTGGCCTAAATGCCCCTAATTTGGTATTTCTCTACACGCTTATTCTGGTGAACTCAAAATTGAGTCAAATGTAAATGTTGAATATGGCTACTCAAAATTGAGTAGCCTTATGTTGACTCACTTTTGAGGAAACTACGTTCTCACGTAGACTGAGTCAAATCCACTCGCCAGTATTTTCAGTCGCGGGGAGGGTTTTTGTTTTGATTTTTATTTAAGGAAATAGAAATTGCTTGCTCCGGATTCATTCTACCGGAGCAAAAACGGTTCAACACCGTTTCCCAGGCCAGTGACAAGGCTTATACCAACAGCAGCGTTTAACAGAAGGCAGCATGTCCCGGGCTCAAACCATTTATTTTGCTGTACTGGGCCCGCTGTCACTGTATAGCATGTTGCCTACGCGCCTGACACTGGGCTGCCGTTTCCCTAAGCAATTCGTACTTACCTGAAGGCATTTCAGCCGGTTTTGAGTAACATTTTCTATGAGGTTTCCTCCGACATGACTGGCATTTTTTCCAAGTCCAGAATTTTGTTGACTGAGTGGCTTTTACTCAGTTTGACATTTCTCGTTTACTCAATTTTTGACAACTCGATATATCGGACGAGCAGAAGTTAGCGTGTATGGAAAACAAGCCTTTTGTTTCACTAAAGGTGAATGCCAAACAACAGACAAGAATACCATATGAAAAGAGCTAATTTATGATTTTATGAATTTATGATATTATATCATCGAATGGCAATAAAAATACTTTGGTTTCATCAGTTATTTATTGCTCTTGAATTTGATTATCCTTTAGATTATTGCTTTCAGCATAGCTGTGCAATGAAGGCTTGTCCTGGGCCCGTAAAATAAAAAAATAAAATTTACTTTTCCGTGTTTCTCTTACGGGGTAAGTAAACTGCTGAAATTGAAAATTAGTGAAATTGCATGATATTTACTTATTTAGCTTAAATGTATTCGAAAGACGTACAGGTACAAAGTTCACTGCTGTACGCTTTTAAGCTAGTTCCTCAAATGGTACATTTTGCAGTACTAGCTGCGTATACAGTATCCTCTATCTGATAGATGATATTATCACCATTTATCAGATAATTTTATTGCCTGATCATCGACGATAATACCAATAGCATCGAAATCACCGATAGTATCCTCGCTCAATTTTCATTTGTTTCGATTAATTCAATGGGCCGTATGCATAAAAAGAGTTTACTTTACTTCTTACGGGAAAAGTAAAGTAAACGCTTTTATTCATAGGTACGACCTAATAACATATTTTCGTTTAACAAATCATATGTTTGAACTTTTGGTTCTGTTCTGCTCAAAGACACACGAGACTACAAAAAAAAGTTTCATAATCTGATTATGAATTGTGCATACAATCGAAAATTAAAACGACATTTCAGTGCCAACATTTCACAAGGGCGTAATTGCATTTGTAAACAATGGCTTTAGTCATGGATTTCTCGCGAATGAAAGCTCACTCATGAAAATGAATGACACCAGCACGTAGAGGAATGTTTCCTGTATCAGCTAGCATTTGTAATTTGGAGGGATAGGTTTTCATTTGCGAGAAATCGACGTCTAAAGCCATTGTTTACAAAAGTAATTACGGCCCTTTGAAATGTTGGCACTGATTTCTCGCTGGCATCACTGGACTTCCTATGCTGCCTATAATCGCATATCAGTCCCATATGGATTTTCGTCAATTTTAAGATAATAACGCTATCCACTATCAATTGGCATCTACTTTCATATTACATGATAAAACTATGGACTTTTATCATGCCAAATGTGAAAACAACATCAAGTCAGTATGTCCCATCAAGCAAAGTAACCGTCCCATCCTGAAATTAAATCGCCCAGAGGCTACGATACACTTCTGCTTTCTTATTCGCCATATTTTTCGCTGATATAACAAACCATGCAAGCTGCATTGCTACTGATTTTACCTTGACAAAATTATCGATTAATTTACTATGAGTTTTTTAAATATTTACATAGAAATTGCACTTCTAAACTTCAACTGCCATTTTCTTAATGTCTACTTTTTCCATATGGGACTGATATGGGATTATAGGCAGTATGCTACTAATGTTAATTTTGACGTCAGACGCGCGTTCCGGTTTGGTGAGCGCGCGACAATGAGATGAATTTTAAGCTTGGATTTTATTTATTGTACATCATTTCCGCATTCGCCCTATTCAGATAACTTTTCTGAAACTTGTGAGTTTGGCAGCACCAACTTGTCGGGGTGCACTGGCAATATACTGGAGTTGTCAAGTTGCCCCGGGTTGGTTTATCTCTAGATAAAATTAATAAATAGCAGATTTTTAGCGATGGGCCCAATCTTATAGCGAATTTGTTTATTATTCAGTTCCAACCTGGATCGGGTATCAAGATCGGGTCTGCTTGTTTTCTGACAAACGTCAGTTTGATCGTTTATTTTTAAAACCTAACTCAGGTTGAGGTTCGCACTGACAAAAAGTTCGGTTTCTCACTGGGTTGGAACTGGTTTCAACCCCGATAATAAACAAATTCGCTATTAGATCCATAGGCCAACATTAGAGCCATTTCCCCTACTATTCATTTATGATTTGACAACGAAAAATGCTATGTTCATATTGGAAAAAAGGAAAATGTCTCACATTGGACAGACCTCAGGGAAATTCCGTATAAATCCGGTGTGACTTATGGAATTGAGATCATTTATCGATTATTTGCAGAGTGTTTGGTTGAAAATGAGAGCCAAATGAACAACAAAATTGATGAAAGCAAAATAATCCGGGACGGAAATGTTACAATGAATTCCACAATTTTTGTGACAGCATATCAGTCCATTCGCATTCGCATTCGCGATTTTCACGACATCATTTAATGTTTGCGCGATTTTCACGACTGAAAGTTCAAATCCACGATAAATCCGCGCCTGTTGTAACAGCCCTGATGATGTAGCATTTTAGGTTGACCAGTAGACTGATGCAAGTGTCCCTAATTTGGGCCCATACATAAAATTCAGCAATCGACTAAATTTTCAATAGCAACCAAAAATATCGATTAGTAACGTCAAAATGACACGTTCATCTAGATAAAATTGATAAATAGCAAATTTTAAGCGATGGGCCCAATATTAGATCCATAGGCCAACATTAGAGACATTTCCCCTAGCATATGAAATCCAAATTGCCCAGGTTCATACGTCATGCCTTATGGAATGCTTAAGATTTCTTTGCCTCAGTGCCGAAGTTTTCTTTACTGGATTTCCCGAGGTCCCCGGATTCAGAATACGTCGGAACGAAGAGTTAGGATTTCTTAAATGTTTTACGTTAGTGAAATTCATTATAATAATGTTTAAGGCAAAATCAAACTCAACAATTAATGTCAAAAACGACTTCAAATTGGCGTTAAATACATACTGAATAAATAAAAATAGAAACAGAACTTTTTTTTATATAATCAATCCTTTGTGCTTTAAGGCTGTGAACCATTTGCCGAGTTAAATTTAACTCGTGGTTAAAAGTGACATTTCGAAAGTTATTTTCTATGTTCGAAAATCCCCGTGCTGTCGATCGACCGGTTTTCGAGCCACGGTTGTCAAAATTTAACTTCTTGTCTGTCAGAAATAACCATGCTCGGATAGCAGGGTTAATCGATAACTTTTCATCTGTCAAATTTTAACCAAAAGTTAAAATAATCCACCAAATGGTTCAGAGCCTAAAATGATAAATTTCTATTCTGTCAAAGCAAAGATCACTACATCGAAACAATAATAAAAATACAGAAAACAAAGGACTTACCTCGCCGGATGCCGGAGTTTCGGGCTTCTTCGGGCGTCCACGCCCCTTCTTTGGGGTTTCGGTGACCTCTTCCTCGCTTTGAATCTGGGCCTCGTCGTCAGACATAATGAGAATGTGTACCTGAAATATTCCAAATAGATAACTAATAAGTGAAAAATTAACGGCTCGACTGTTTCGAGGATCGCGAACACGCGCACGAGGATAACATGACAACAAACACGCCTATTGAAAACAACCCAGGAACTGGATCAACTTGAATCAGTTTCTGAGGTACTTTCAACGGTCGAGAAAGTAGTACACGGCCATTGAGAATAACTTGTATGAGAAATTTAAAAAAAACTGCAGGTGGAAAATTGTCTTCATACCTCTGAGTAGAATTGACTCTGGTCGTGTAAATAATACTCCCCTTTCCTTTAAAGCCCTCTACACGGCCAAGCAAACCAACTCAGCAACTGAGATTAATTGACTCAGAGAATTTTCTATCCATATGAAACTTACTCAGATTAGAAAAAAAAACTGCAGTTACTCACAAGCTTCGAGTAACTGCAGTTTTTTTTTCAAATCTGAGTAAATTTCGTATGGAAATAAAATTCTCTGAGTCAATTAATCTCAGTCGCTGAGTTGGTATGATTGGCCGTGTAGTATGGACGTCTGCCAAAAGTTCCAATCGAACTTTCAAAATCCACTGCTTAGCTCGATTGGAACGAATGAAGACAGAGGGAGAGGTGAAGCAGATTGTGAATTCTCGATTACTTTTTCGAAGGGACGCATCAGCTTTTGTAAACAATGTATTTGATCGTCGGTTTGGTGTAACTGGTAGCTCACCCACGCATACTAACACCACTATTAGGTAGGGGAAACAATTCTAATTGTTGAATTGTGACCCTTTTTCAAGAATCCTGGAACCCTAATACACAATCAGCAGTTCCATTTCAAACGACGAATTTTTTTTCGACCCTCTACGATTATGTTGAAACTTTACACAGTTGTTTGTTATTTTCCAACATGCCATATTACAGATTTGGTTCCCTAGTTTTGTACACGACTAACACTTGAAAAGGGCTTATGCAAAAATGATACGCATCAATAGAAAAACATCTTGCGAACAATTTGTTTGATCCAGATGCTGTTTTCGGCGAAGTTGCGGACAAGTACTATACCTTTCAAGAAAAAATATACACTGTAAAAAAATATTTTGTTATTTACATAAAAAAAAAATTAAATTACTTAAATTGTATTTTTTTTATATATTTATATTGTAGTTTAGAATATAAATAATGGACATGGAATTCATTGTATCTCCGGAATATCCAATCGTGTTCAAGTTCTGTTTGGTATTTTCTGAAAGAATTTGCAGATCCTTTTTTATACACCTTACTCACATCATCATTTTTTATCGGTTGAATACATTGGGTCATAAGAAATCGTTTATCCAGCTGGATTCCTGCAATGCCTCGGTTGAATATCTCGATGTTGACTGGTTGAGTGAATTCTTGGTACGATTGAACTGAACTAACTGATGTCATTGGTGGTACAGTTGTAAGGCTTTCATAGCTCGGTACGACAGGTACTATCACTGTAGTTGGCATCTTTGAGCTTCCGGCAACATGCTGTTCCTCGTTTGAGATGAAAAGAGCTTGTTTATCAACACGAAGACGGCAGGACGTGCAAATGCGAAAACCAGTATTCAATCGTGATGCTTCAGAATATCCAATCGATTTTAATTTCTGGATGGTAATATTCGAAATATTCCTCAGCTCTTTCGAGCACTTGACTTCCTCGAACGGCCGAATGCACCTGATAAAACATACTCGTTCACTCATGTTGCTTCCTGTATTAAAAAAAATAAAAATAATAATCTTTAAAAATGATTTCAACTCAAGGTTATGCTTACCTTTTAACCAAATGGTGTTACACTTATTTCCTATGATAACTTTTTAAAATGTATGCGGCAAAAAGCAATATTTGTGATCAACTGCTTGTTTTCACCATTCAAACTCATTCAAGTATCAGATTGATAGGTACAATTTCTACATTAGGTACAGACAGATGTTTTTGGTGTTCACTACTACAGTGTTGAGTATTTGACTTATTACCGTTAAGATCACTGATACAACTATGCAAAATTGAAGACAATGAATAAAAAAGAAAATTCAAAAATCGTCAAGTTGAATGGAATTGCTCCTTCAGTAAGGCTCGCTAGTTTTGTTAGTAACGATACCTTTTCATTGTATCAGATGTAATGAATCCTAACTTTTCAATAGGGCCTGTGTAGAAAAACACTAATGAAATAAACATACCTATATTGCAAAAACGGCTTGCTTGATTGCTATGGTGTCTTCGGGAAAGTTGTGCATGTTTTATCAGGTGCATTCGGCCGTTCGAGGAAGTCAAGTGCTCGAAAGAGCTGAGGAATATTTCGAATATTACCATCCAGAAATAAAAATCGATTGGATATTCTGAAGCATCAGGATTGAATACTGGTTTTCGCATTTGCACGTCCTGCCGTCTTCGTGTTGATAAACAAGCTCTTTTCATCTCAAACGAGGAACAGCATGTTGCCGGAAGCTCAAAGATGCCAACTACAGTGATAGTACCTGTCGTACCGAGCTATGAAAGCCTTACAACTGTACCACCAATGACATCAGTTACTTCAGTTCAATCGTACCAGGAATTCACTCAACCAGTCAACATCGAGATATTCAACCGAGGCATTGCAGGAATCCAGGTATCACCTATAGACGTGGGAAAACTCAACTACATCCACTACCCCGAAAAGAAGCACCGTGAAATCAACGAAGGTATTAGAAAGAATCTTTTCAACTTCGAGCCTGAGACTGACGAAGTGAATGAACTCAAAGAAGTTTTAGAAAACATGAAGGAGAAGTTTTCCAATGCATCCACTGCAAGAAGTGAAAAATTATTAATTTTATCGTTATTGCCTTATTCATGGTTAACACAAAAAGTTATGGATCAATTTAATGCTAGTAGATATATTGCAACAGAGGCTAAGTTGATAAAGGAAGGTCATTCGTCAAAAACCGCAAAATATGACCTACACTAACATTCCCTGACTTTCCAGGTAGTCGACACCCTGCTGAAGTTATCAAAACCTCTCTAAAGTTTATACAGTTCTCATGAAGCTTGTTGTACTGCCCTGAATTTAATTGGACTATCCTAAAAATCCTAAGCTTCCGTGAACTTTTGAACTTATTTGAAAACCTTAAAAAAATTTCTAACATTTCTGAAGTCTTGAACTTCTTGAAATTTTCCGCTTATTTTCTGAAACTAATAGAACTGAACTCCTCCCAAAATTCCCCCAATTTATGGACCCAACGAAACTTCTTTAAAATGCTCCCCCATTTTCAGAAGTTCCAGAAGATCTCGGACCCAACGAAACTTCTTTAAAATGCTCCCCCATTTTCAGAAGTTCCAGAAGATCTCGGACCCATAGACTTTTATAAAGTTCTCGGATTGTTTCTCAAGATCTCTGCACTTCTGGTACTTCTTTAAGCTCCTGCAATCGACACTAATTGATAACTTCATCAATTGTCTAAACTTCACTGACGTTATTAAAAGTGCCCAAAAGACATCAGAATTTCCTTAAAGGCTACCCTGAATTTTCAAGTATTTTTATAAGAACCAGAAATTTTAGATTTGCCTTGATTTTTCCACAATTTCTATTGATTTATTTACCGTCGATCTTGTTTTCCGTACAGCATTAGTGCTACCGACACCAGGGAGGCAGCTCCCATACCTGGACCCTACCTATTGACCCACCAACTCATGGACCGGAGACCACTGGTTTTACTTCCCTAAGGAAGGCGTGATCAGAGATTTTATGCCTCAGAAAAACCCGGCGGTGGCGACTGGGATTGAACCCAGGCCCTTTGGGGTTTGGGGTAAAATACCTGCGCCGCTTCCACAATTCCTTAAGTTTCATAACTCACGGTACTTTGGCCTTAATCACTCATTTTCCCTGAACTTATCTGGGAACATTCCTGATGTTTTCTATGCTTTCTTAAAGTTCTCTTTTTCTGACATGTATTCATAATTCCATGTCGCTTCTGAAGTTTTCGGATCATAAAACTCCTTGTAAGCCACTGCGAATGTCCTTCAGTTAATGTGATTGCTCTGAAGGTATCTGATCGCCCAGAAAATACGCCACTCTCGATGTGTGTCACGCGATCGTCTATTTACTCGGCAGCAACCATTGCGAGGTCTTCCTCATTATTCTCCATCCGTGGAGGCGAACCAGCCCAAGGCTGAAAGCCTCATTAATAAAGTTAAATAATAATAATATTCTCCATCAGCAGTTCGATGCGTTGTCGACTTTGGAAAGCAACCGTTTCGTTATGAGTGTGTTAGTGATTACCACGGTTTTGCGTCCATTGCTGCAATGGAAGCTCTCTGCTCTCGATACTGCCATACAATAAAACCACTGGAAGCGGGTTCCATTCTGATGGAGGTGGGTTATTGGATTGCGGAAGATAAAGAGTTTGTTGTGCTGTACCTTTTGAATATAGTTTTACGATGTTTTGTATAATGAACAAGAATTCCTGGCTCTTTAAAGTGCATTCGATTGAGCCTTATCGAAAAAAAAAAAACAAAAACTTAGCTAAATTTTTCCAGTTAATTGAAGTTCTTGAAATTTCCATGATATAGGGGAAATGGATGTAATGTCGGCCTAAATGCCCCTAATTTGGGCACATACATAAATTCAGCAATTGACTAAATTTTCAATAGCGACCATAAATATCCATTAGTACCGTTCCAATGACGCGTTCATCTAGATAAAATTTGATAAATAGCAGATTTTTAGCGATGGGCTCAATCTTAGATCCATTTCCCCTATCACTATTAAAATACCTTCACATTTTCCAGATATTTCTACTGAGTTCCAGAAATTCTCTCTGAGCTTTTCTGAAGTTTCCGAAAATTTCCTGAGTTTCTCGAAACTTCTTTAAGGTTTTTGTAATTTTCTTGAAATTACTTGAACTGATTTTCTCAAAGTTTCCCTGAAGCTCTCAATTATATTGAAGGCCTCGGTTCTACTCTAAAATTCTCTAGGAAGTTCCTGGCATATTTTGGAAGATTTCATAAATTCTCTGTACTTCCCT